TCATCATCATCATCATCATCATCATCATCATCATCATCATCATCATCATCATCATCATCATCATCATCATCATCATCATCATCATCATCATCATCATCATCATCATCATCATCACATCATCATCATTTGCATCATCCTCATCCCCCTCCTCCTCCCCTCCCCCTCCCCTCCTCCTCCTCCTCCTCCTCCTCCTCCTCCTCCTCCTCCTCCCTTTCCTCCTCCGTCCGGCCGGGCGGGGCCCGCGGCCTGGTCGAAGAGCTTGTCTCGGGGGGGGGAGGCGGCGCGCGCGGAGCCCCCGGGCACGGGGAGGGGGCGCCCGCGCCGCACGCCCGGCAACCGCTCCCGGCCGGCCCGCCCCGGGCCTGGGTCGGGGGCCGCGAGACGGGGGCCCGTGCAGACGTGTACCCAGACATGCTTGCATCGTAAAAAATTCAGGACGGAGGTTTTTCGCCGTTTTCGGGCTCTGGAGGCCTTCGCCGGGCCTCGGGACCGTCAAAAAACGACTCAGGATGAAAAACCGGCCCCAGGGAAAGGGTCGGGACTTGCGGGGGCGCCGTCCTGAAAAAATCAGGACGTCGCATGTCTGGGTAGGAGGCGGCTGCCCTGAGCTTTCGGCGGTGGACAAACCTCCCTTCAATAGACCTCCCCTCAGTGAAAACGGCCTGGGACCGAAACCGACGGACCTGGACCCCCAAAAATGAGGGCCGCGACGCCCTGTCGCGAACCGAAAACGGCCAATTCCTTAATCGACGTGTCAGGGTAGGAGGTCTGTCCACCCCCGAAGCTTCCAGGAGGGCAAAAAAATGGCACCCCGGCGTCGACGTCCCAAGTCCTGCTGAGGTTCGAGGCAGTCCAGATAGGTCTATAGGTCTGGAGTGATATTTCCCTACCTAGGCTCTGCCTAGAAGGGTTCTTACTCTCTTAGCTTCAAGGGGCCGGGCAGTGCAAAGCGCCCCGGGCGGTTCCCCCAGCCCCCGCCCCGCGGTTCCCCCCAGTCCCCTGGGAGCTTTAGCTTTAGCTTTAACTGTAGCTTTAGCTTTAGCTTAGCTTTAGCTTAGCTTTAGCTTAGCTTTAGCTTAGCTGTAGCTTAGCTTTAGCTTAGCGTTTCGCTTAGCTGTTCGCTTAGCGGTTAGTTTAGCTTTAGCTTAGCTTTAGCTTAGATTTGGCTTAGCTGTAGCTTAGCTGTAGCTTAGCTGTAGCTTAGCGTTAGCTTAGCGTTAGCTTAGATTTAGCTTAGATTTAGCTTAGCTGTAGCTTAGCGTTAGCTTAGCTTTAGCTCAGCTTTAGCTCAGCTTTAGCTTAGCTTTAGCTTAGCTTTAGTTTAGCTTTAGCTTAGCTTTAGCTTAGCTGTGGCTTAGCTTTAGCTTAGCTTTAGCTCAGCTTTAGCTTAGCTGTAGCTTAGCGTTAGCTTAGCTTTAGCTTTGCTTCAGCTTAGCTTTAGCTTAGCTTTAGCTTAGCGTTACTGTTACTACTAATGCTGCTTTCCTAGGGGTTCCAACTCCTAGGTAGGGTCGCACTGGGATAATTTTTATGGCACTCTGGAAGGTCAGGATACTGGGGGGTCTTCGTCGGAAGGATGAAGGAGAATGAAACCCCACTGGAGGGCTGCTGCGCCGGGTCAGGCCGCGGATCAAGCGGGATCAAGCCGGATAAAGGCCACTTGAACGGGATCAAACCGGATTGAGCCGGAGTTGGGACCAGGGCAAAGTCAGAATTTGACCTCCCAGGAGTTGCATCCGAGCAAAACGGGGGTCAGCCAGAGCGCCGGATCTCGCAGGATCCTGCAGAGCCAGGGGTGCATTGACCCCGGCCAGCGTGCAAGATCCTGCAGGATCCTGTGGGATCTTGCAGGATCCTGAAAAAGCCCGACTGGTCCGGATGTGCATTGACCAGGATAGAGGCGTCCCCGACCCTGGATCGGTGCATGTTGCCCGGACCCCCTCGCGTCGTGAAAAAATCACGGCGGGAGGGTTTTCGCTGTTTTCAGCCTCTGGGAGCCCTTACCCGGCCTCGGGCCTTGGGACGTCAATTAACGACTCAGGATGAAAAACCGATCCCGGGAATATGTCTAGACCTCTGGGACTCGGCACTCTGAAGAAAAACGAAACGTCTGGGGTCTGGGTCCCTGCCCCGGCTGCACGCAGGAGTGGCCCTGGGCAAGAGTGAGAGTGACCTCTGGTGCGCCGCGCGACCCTTCCGAGGCCTCAGTCGGGGACAGTTCGCTCGCGGGTTCGTGGAGGCTTTGAATGTCTAGGCCATCCTACCTGTTCGAGCCCTCTCCGCGAGGGAGTTATCGCTGCCGACCGCTGCCTCCTCCTCCTCCTCCTCCTCCTCCATCCTCCTCCTCCTACTCCTCATCCTCCATCCTCCATCCTCCATCCTCCATCCTCCATCCTCCATCTTCCATCTTCCTCCTCCTCCTCCTCCTCCTCATCCTCCTCCTCCTCCTCCTCCTCCTCCTCCTCCTCCATCCTCCATCCTCCATCCTCCATCCTCCATC